CCAAATGCGTAGATAGATTTTCATGATATCAATCACTGGATTGTCTGGTCCAGACTCGATTATTAACAGACCGCCGTCGTGTAGATGGAATATTTCGGATTGCGGGTTTAAACAATAAACAAGCCTACAAACGTCTACCAAACATATCACGACCAGTCTCACATAACGTGCAGTTGTACATAGCCCATGATATGTAATGCCAATAGAATGTCATTAGAAAATAAACAAAAAGGGTGACAGAGTTGTACTTTGTCCGAGTTGTTGAATCGAGAACTGACTGATTGTGACACAAATGTCCTGCAGGAAATCATACGACTGCAGATGTCACGACCTAAACAGTCAGCTGTTTCTGTTTCTGTTTGCAAATGTGCACCGTGCTTTGTTAATTAATGGCGATGTTGAACCTGTCGAGGAAAGTGAACTACGCTCTTAATGAGCGTGACAGTGACACATGCATATTGTTAACCTGAGGGACTTTCTGGAATACTTAAAGGAGTGGGCGCAAACATGTGATCATCATTCGTAATAACACCTCTTCCGAAACACCAACCCGACCCATCCCCATGCACTCTTACACGCTCTCTCATCAGCTCTTACAATTACCAAACCGCCACCCCGACACATCACCTACTCCCTCGTCAGCTCTTCTAATTACCAAACCACCACCCCGACACATCACCTACTCCCTCATGAGCTCTTCTAATTACCAAACCACCACCCTGACACATTACCTACTCCCTCGCCAGCTCTTCTAATTACCGAACCACCACCCTGACACATTACCTACTCCCTCGTCAGCTCTTCTAATTACCGAACCACCACCCTGACACATTACCTACTCCCTCGTCAGCTCTTCTAATTACCGAACCACCACCCTGACACATTACCTACTCCCTCGTCAGCTCTTCTAATTACCGAACCACCACCCTGACACATTACCTACTCCCTCGTCAGCTCTTCTAATTACCGAACCACCACCCTGACACATTACCTACTCCCTCGTCAGCTCTTCTAATTACCGAACCACCACCCTGACACATTACCTACTCCCTCATCAAACCTTCACCCCGACACATCACCTACTCTCTCACCAGCTCTTCCAGTTACCAAACCACCACCCGACACATCACCTGCTCTCTCATCAGCTCTTCCAGTTACCAAACCACCACCCGACACATCACCTACTCTCTCACCAGCTCTTCCAGTTACCAAACCACCACCCGACACATCACCTGCTCTCTCATCAGCTCTTCCAAACCACCAACCCGATCCATCGCCTGCTTTTCCAATTTACCAAACCACCAACACGACCCACCACCCGCTCCTTGTCATAAATTGGTCGATATTGTAGTTTGCCTAAATAACTAAATTGTGAATACATTAACTTGGTCTCGTCGCTATATGGCTGAAATATTGACCATGCGACGTTAAATTTTAACTCACTCACTCGCGATATAGTAGAAGACGCTAAGACAAGCATGGAAGCCCCATGCACAGAGTGGAAGACGAGAGTTATACGCCTCTGTCATAGTCAACAATGCCACACTTATATCACGGCAACCGTGCAGCAGAACGCCTTCGACCCTGGAGCAGAAAAACACTAGAAATTTGAGAATCGATCCAGACAGGTGTACGCACTGACACACTTATTAAACCAGGCCCATGAAGTTGGCCTATCCGGTTGTAAGCCCATCGAAAACTAATTTATAGTCAACATCGTCCATTCGATCAACATTTAGACCTCTTTTACAGGGGTACCGGGGATAGGTCTACAGTATTAGATTATATGGGGGCTCTTCGTTTTCTTTACGTTCACATATAGCTGAACGGGTTTTGAATGGTTCTTCGATCAATGAAGACTACGTCCAGAGGAATCGGTTTCAAATGGCCCCTCTCTTGTCAATGAATATTGTATTCTCATTTTTAAAAAAATGAAACGTGATTTCCAAGAGGTAATTTGCGTTGTTGTTCCCGCGAATCTCCGCGGGTCATATTACTGTACAGCTGTCCGTGGGTGGGCTGGCAAATGGTGGGTGGTGAAGTTATAAGAATGAGTGGGTGGGTTGGCGATTGTCATTGTGAGTGGGACCAAATGATTTTGTTCCCCCCACCTCGACTCCCACCCAGGGGTGGGGTTCGTTGATCATTGTTGTTTGTTTGTTGTTTAACGCCGCACTCAGCAATGTTCCAGCTATAAGACGGCGGTCTGTAAATAACCGATATCGATATCATGAGCATCGTTCCACGCAATTTGGATACGATGACGTGCATCAAACCAAGTCAGCGAGCCTGACCACCCGATCCCGTTAGTTGTCTCTTACCACAAGTATGTGTTGTTGCAAACCTATTCTCATTGGAAGAGTGGGTGAAGGGGTGGGGTTGGTTAGAAACTGGAAGAGTGGGTGAAGGGGTGGGGTTGGTTAGAAACTGGAAGAGTGGGTGAAGGGGTGGGGTTGGTTAGAAACTGGAAGAGTGGGTGAAGGGGTGGGGTTGGTTAGAAACTGGAAGAGTGGGTGAAGGGGTGGTGGGGTAAAAACTGGATTGTTGAGGGGAAAATTGGATTGTTGAGGGGGGTGCGGCTAGGAGCAGCTTGGTGATTGGAAGTGAGGGGGTGGGTCTTGGGTTCGTTGTATGAGTGAGTTGGGCGTCAATTAGCAAATGGAAAAGTGTGTGAGGGAGTGATGGGGTGAGTGATGGAGTGGGCTGGGATGTGTTGTCAATTGGGGGGTGGGGGTGGTGGGATTAGGTAATTTTTTATGATTAATTAAAAATTTAAACCAGACATTGTTAATGTAGTCATACCTGGCAGCTTATAGCATTTTAACGTGAGTAGGGTGTACATATCTATTGTGTGTTTTACTATTGATATGATTTCATTCTGGATTTTTAGAAATTGATAGAATTTCTGCGGCTGCTCTGTTTATATATACGTTCCAGCAGCTGACCGTCTCAGAAAAAGAGTTAGTTGGGCCTTCGCTGTTGCCTCTCTTGGCTTTAGGAGATCTACGACAGATAGTGGACCTAACTGCAATTCTTGTTTGAACCGAGCCCGGGCTGGGGCATGGTCTTGACATTCCAGTAACAAGTGAGCAAAAAGGGACAGGTCAGCCTAAATTGCTAAGGCAAAAAGCGACCTCTTAAACACTTAAAGCAACAACATTATAATGTTCGGGAGTGTAACATTTCAATATCAATTCTTGTCAGTTAACGACTTTTAAATATATTACCTATTTGCTCGTCACTTTATGAAAGAACACAGCTTCAACTTCGAACGAAGTCAGTCGTAAATGCACGTGCAGCACAACATCTTAATGCACTTGTGTATTGCACGGGTTAGTTTCCACAATATATAGCCTGGTCATAGTTATCCGTCTCCCACCATTGATTCACACTTTGATATGAATTTAACACAAGGGTTCAAAAACATTAATCGACTCATAAGAACACACAAGAGGTGTAAGGTCACAAGAAGGCATACCTGTCACGCAAATGTCTTTAAAAAGACTTGGAGAAATGTTGTAATTTGATAAATGTTTAGTTTAAACAATATGTTTAATTCAACGCATGAAAACCAAAATTGGTCAACAGGGGAAATGCCTGTTTGACGTCCTCTCTAGTACACATATGATCGGTACGATTTTCAGAACAACACACTGTAGATGACACTTTTGTATGAATAGCAACCTCTTTTATTCTTTGTACGACGTTTCAGAGCTACTTCTTGCTCCTTCGTGTATTCATGTTCTCCCAAAGTCTAAATGCCTGTCAAAGACTTCAACATACAATAGACAATTGTATTATATACGTAAGTTAGATAGAATTATTTAGCTGGGCTAAGTTAGGAAAACATAAGTTACCGAAAAATATAGACGGTTTATACTTTATCCCTTATTGAAGAAAACAACAGTTGGATCTCACATGGCTTGATAAATTTGCCTATGTCTACTGAAAGTGTGCGTAACTTTACAATACCTTGAATTAGTGGAACTATTTTTAAAGATTATTTCAGAAACCAAATATATTTTACAAAATGGCTACAGATTATCAGGGTTAATCATATACCCCACCCTCTTCGTTAATTGGTCACCGTCACAAGTGAGTGAGTCTGGTTTTACGGCGCCTTTAGCAATATTCCGGCAATATCACGACGGGGACACCACAAATAGGCTTCACACACTGTACACATGTGGGGTATCGAACCCGGGCCTTCGGGGTGAAGAGCGAACGTTTTAACCACTAGGCTACCCCACCGCCCCCGTTATTAAACAGAAGGTGAAATAGATGTCGATGTGTTGATACAAAAATGAATTATCTATCCACGTTTCTTGTCATAAATATCCCTGATGTTCACATATGAACCCAGAATAAGATTTAAGTTTTCAAAGTGCATGTGATTGAGACCAAATGTATATATAAGGTTCTTGAATAGTATCATTTTGAAAGTATAGTTTTTATCACTTGTTAGACTTATAAAGTACAACCTATACCGGTACGGATAAAATGAATATTTACACGAAATGATTATTTATTTGAAATTACAAGTAAAAGAGACCCAAATGCTTTTAATTCGGAAAGAAAGTGTGTTTTTTATCTTTAGCCAAGGCAATTAGTTAGCATATTCGTCATAAGATACATGAATAAACAATTACATTTCTGTGTGTATAGTCACACAAATACACCACGTAAATTTGCCTTAATTGTTTATTGATTTGGGCATTTTTACAGCTCATGTTGAATTAAATGATGTGTAAAACCCTCCAGCGTGCTTAGCACAGACTGAACTGTCATTTCATTGGCGCAGGAGATATCCCTACGCTATAGGCATTCCCCACATAAATTTCCCATCAGAGAGGAGGAAGTGACGAAACAAAAGAAATAGTCCCCTTGCTGGAGATATAACCCATGGCATTACTGATTTTAAACATACATTAAGTGTCAGGAAATTCTGATAAACGTCATTTAGCGACTATAGTTGACCTATGCTATAAAATTAGTTATTACTTAACAAAGGAAAAGCATTGTCAGAGACGGGTCTGTTTAGCGGAAGGATATCTCAAACTCTACGCGAAACTCGTACACACATGAACAGAACGTGAAGAGCAGGAGAAGTTGTGTGTGTTGTTTTAAGACACATTATTTTGTTTTTAATCGAATATTGTGATACCTGACGGATACCTAGAGCGACAGAACACATCGGTGTCATGTTGGGGAAGTCTACTCTAATATTTCTAGGCCTGCTGGCCCTCATAACCCTATCATTAGCTCAGGCGAGGCAAGGCGCTGACGAGCAAGAGGTAGGTCAAATCTTGGTTGTGCCATCCCATTTCTAACACCACATATCATGTCATAAAACACATTTAAGTTACTAGTCAGAATGGAAACGTGTCGAAATCACCATCTAACATTTATTTAGTCGTTATTCGTGTGTTCGGTGTTTCGTGGATTGTAAGCGCACCTGTGTTTGAGTATTTGGTAGTGTCTATGGCCACTGTTGACACAAGGGACGACTAAGCACCCCTTTCATGGAAATAGTTACCACTATACTCTGACATGGTCAAATCACACCTGTTCCTGTCTATATTTGCCTATAAGTCTACATAATTGTGTAGAAAAGATTCTGGTAGGACGTGAATTCGCTTCGTAAGCTGGATTTGTTTTGACAGCTGCCGGGACGTCATGCTGTGCGGTGTGACCGAAATTTCACTCGTAAATAAACTGAGATTTTAAGGACACAGTTTTCGCTAAATGATTTATTTTACGGCATATCATTGTAATTCGTTATTGATTTAATTAATTCTAGAAGCATTTACAGTAGATATTTTTAAAAAAACACCCTCAATTATTACAACAGTAACATTCATAATTACCAGCGTAACCTCATGGCCGATTAGGAGTAATAGTTTCCTTAGAACATGTATAACATTTTACATCAACTTTTTCTGACACATTGACATGTTAAGGTGATGGACAATTTTATGTTTAAACGACATGACCTTTGTTGTAGAAAAAATGAGTAGATGACACTCAGGACTCAGAATGTGTATTATTTATTTTTGTGTGTTAAAAGATGAATTGCGTAGAACAGACTATCCAGGTGTACAGGTTGCCAGCGTGTGGTACACATGTTTGTTTCACACCACAGCCAGCACTACTGCAGTGCCCCCGTAATTTACTTTACCCATAATGAACAAATTATGAACTTCGGAACGTTGCCAAGAGAATTTCCTGTTTTTAACTAGATTGAATAATGGCAGAGCCATGTGGCAAGATATTTTAAATGCTGGACAGGTTGGGGCAGAGGAAATAGTTTGACTTTGAAAGTATAATCAGACAGATGACTTTCATACCCTGTTTTTTTTTAATCGTTTTTAACCTATATTTAATTATTTGTACATAACGACGGAAAATCAAACTGATCCAATTAAGACATAGATCTCATGGGCGGATACAGCTTTTTTGAAAAGGGGGGGGGGTGCACAATTAAGATCTATTTATTGTCTTTGGTGGTAATTTATACAGAAATAAAGATTCTTTTCAAAATAAAAAAGGGGGGGTGTGCTAGAAGTTGTAGAACATAGTCCCAAGGAATGAAATATGCCTTCACTTTGGAAGACAACTGAAACATCAAATTTGTTCAACAATATTGTAAAGTGCTAGTTGATATGTGAAAGTATAATGTTATAGTGTTTTTATCTTGCATAGGTCCTCTGTGATAGCACTAAAATACTGTTCAAAACATACTTAAACCAAGCTTGTTCTGAAGTTTTTAATAAAGTTGTTCCAGACACATTTATCATATGTTCTCATTATATCATTGATTCTTGTTGCAACACTACCTGAGATAAGCATGATAAGACCGAAGTGTCTGTTCACAAGTAGTATAACTTGTATGCCATGGTGATCTGAATGTATATTCAACAATGTTGTAATTACCCCTGATTGTGTAACATTATGAAACCTCAGGACAAATTACCCTGAGTCAATAGGGCCATTGACTAACTGGTGTTTACACAGTGATGTCTACAGATCATTAGATCATTTGTATATTGTCTGGGGTTGATGTACGTTGTTGAAACATGTGTCATGTAAACTAATTATTGTCATCACATGTGGGGTGTATCTATCTCAGGGGCAATGTTAGGACTATTTTGTGGTATAATGTTTGAGGATTGTTAATACTTCAAGGACTTTCAAACCTTTGTGCTTGTGAGTTCATATGCTTTGGATGTACATACTACTGCTAAATTTCTCACACCAAATGCAATTGTAATTACAGAAATATAAGTAATTGTATAGTAAAATGTGTTTATGCATATTGGATGAAAGGAACGATCTGCCAGTGATTTTCTTTTGAGTTACTGATGATAACTTTATTGAACTTTATCAGCTGACGATTCACAGAGGTAAACCACAAGTGTGGAGTCAAGGGAACCTAGGGAGCAGGCCTACATTTGATAATAGTTTTAAATATCAGGAGCCAAAAGTTGCAAAGAATGAGTCTGAATATTTTGTTCTGAAAATTTATGGCTGGCAGTGTGGTCAGAAAATAAAGGTAAAGCTTCCAGTCCATCATAAGTATATTTATACATTGTAAATAACTAAAAAGAAATGTCTGTCCAGCTATCAGGAGAAGATCAGGTAAATCAGTCTCTTATCAGTGGTTCTGATAGTATTGTAAATATGGCATCCTTATCAGATTTCTGAACATTTGCCCATTCACAAACAAGGCATTTTTTACTCAGGCCATTCACATGGTATGAGGTGATTATCTTGATAAGTAAGTAAATGACTTGTATTTACAAAAGCTTCTTATCTCTCTTCAGAGCATGTATACTGTTTCTCCATTGACTAACTTAATGTCCCCATGCTTTGATTGTCAGGCAACAATGGTTTTGAATGTTTGCTTATCCACCATTGTTATTTAAGACATAAAAGAGTTGTATGAGGTTTTTGTGAATTCTGTAATTGAATTTGTGTGCCCGAACACTGATGGCGTTATTTATCTGATAGATAAGGGGAATTTAATGTAGTCATACACTTTGCTCTTAGTTTGTTGTTTAATGTCATTTGATGGTTGTCTGTAAATAAGAGTCACACACTCCAGCTAGTTTCTTGCTGAGTTTGCTTGTGATCAGGGTAATGAGAATGGTTGATAAACTATTTAGTATTATGAAAGAATCAGGTGTTCTGTGACTTCTTTTGCGTAGTATACATGCAAATGTGAATTTACTATTGATAGTTTTTTTATTATGTTCTTCAAAGATTAGAACTTGATGTGAACTACCAAATAAAGGCTGATAAGTGTTCATTGAGAAGTGTTTTTCATTTTGAACTGTGGTCTTGAGGTTTTGGTTGAACCAGTTTGAATTAATTCAGTTGTCATTGACTGATATCTGTCCTCTACAACCATTGACAAATGTCAGGACAAGGAATAATACATAGCGTCTTGAATTGGTTCAGGAAATCACACTTTGTCATATTTGTGTGCGGGAAGTGCACAATTCTTCACTTCCATGTGGGAAGTTGTATCGTTTCATCAGCATGTGTGATATGACCAGTCATTGTCTACTCAGCAGTCCTTTTGTGTCTAGATATCAATGTATAACATCAGCTTATCCAGCATGTCCAGAGGGTTGGTTCGTGTTTGAGAAACTTAGGGCCTCCCTCAAATGTAAACTATGGTAATTATGATCTGTTGTCACATTCACATGCAGGCATCGTATTTGTTCACTTTTCCTACTCCATCCCTCGTCCTCACCAAGTTTGTTGTGCAGAGTTGTTTCCCTTCCTGACAGGATCCATTGTTTGGGTGTTGAGTGTCCCAGACTCACCCCAATTAGTCTTGATATGTTCTCCTAATTCGCATTGGTTTAAAGAGTTGTAAACATCTAGGACATGTCTGTCTACTCAAATTCAACAAACGTGGTGATGAGACGGAAAACTTCCTCAAAGCAGTGTGAAATCTGGTAACACCTCACTCACCATTTTGATAAATGTATTTATTTATGATGTAGGTCCCCTTTGAACACATGTTCATTCGGTCATTCCATTTGTGTATTATATGATTTTAAAAGGGCTAACTCTTCGTATGTAACTAATCACCGATTTCTATTCATTATTCTACTGTCTCATTTAGGAGAGTGGAAAAGTTAATATTTTCATGAATAGCCTCCATGGGTGATAAAAACAAAGTTTAGCACTTAACCAGATGAGATGGTGGTGGTATTTATCAAGAAGAGACACATAATCAATTTATAACAGTTCAAATTGCTGATCAATGGTGAAAATTATTCCGGTTTACTTTCACAATTGAAGCCTAGAGGAGCAGTGTGTGAATGTATCAGTCGCAGCTCTCAGACACAGTAGCAACTGATGGTCCAAGGCATTGCGTTCAAATCAAATTACATTTTTACCCAAGAATTCTCCTTCCCAAAGGTAGTACACATGCTGCCCAGACCTTGTTGACCGGTCTTTCGAGTTTGTAGTCCTGCTTGAAACAGATAATAATGTTTACTATGTTTACATTTCCTGCCAGCTTTATTCAATTTCAATTTGTAGCAAAATTCAAGCATTACAAAATGTTCAGACTTACAGCTTTCAGATACTACCAGTCAATGAGATCTTTACTTGTCCCCAGCACAGTGTAGTAGCCTCGGGCTTGGGGACCAGCATGAATTTCGAAGGCTGCATAGGGGACAAAATGTGTTATGATTAACTTAATGAAGTTGTTTGAGAAAAACAATATCACAACTTCCTATGATGTAACCTTTTAAGTAATTGCTTCTCGTGTCTGTTAACTGTTATTTTGAGACATTATCTCCCCAAGTAAAATAAACAACATTGGTTGTGTTATTATTGGCTTTATGAAACATTTCAGGGTATAACTAACTGTTCCTGGAGAGACCTGTGAATTTGTCATACAACACAAGTATGACTGAAATGCTATACGGGCTTTGATCAAGATACACAAGCATACATGCTTGCACTTTCAGAGGGCCTCATAAGATTTGTTCATGTAATTACCCTGTTAATGGCAGTGGACATCTATTGAGATTGTATCAAATTATCATGTCTCCAAAGACTGGTAAGTGATACACCTTGTATCAAAGCAATCTCCATTGTACCTAAGGGATTAGTTGCATGTAATCTGAAGGTTCCATGTTTAAATAACAACCAGAATAACATGTTGTACGGAGCCTGATATCTTGAGGTTGTTGAACCTGCAGATTATCAGGTAAATCTCTTTAAAATTAAATATACAAAGATAATACTCTTAGGAAGAAATGCAGTAAAG